TCGACTGACTTTAATAAGTGGATAGAGAGAGGCGAGTGACTATGGTTCAAAGATGGTGATCTACAAAAGTTTGTGAAACAACAACAAGACCTAGAGAGCGAGAAGAGTGTCAACAGAGAAGAGAAGAAGAAAGGCAGAGAAGAGAAGAATAAAGGCAATCACGTTCTTCTTTAAGTCTTTATTCTTCTCTTCTCTGTGAAATACAGATTGATAAAGGAGAAAATAAGAGTGAGGAGAGACTGGAAATAGGGAGAATAAGAGCACAAATTAAGATGTCCAAGCTCACCTAACAGAAAGATGAAGGAACCGAGAATGACAATAGAGTCAGGGCCAGTTGACCCAAGTTGCCCAAATTTGCTGAACAGAAAGATGACATGGATGCTCTCCTGGTGAGGTATGAAACGTTTGCCCAAAGTCAGAACTGGGACAAAGGCGACTGGGCAGTCTGTTTCAGTTCCATTCTCACAGGAAAAGCCTACAAGTGTATGTGAACATGACGTCAGAAGATGCTATGGATTATGACAAGTTAAAAGTGGCCTTGTTGAAATGCTATGAACTTAGTGAACAAGGTTTTCACCAGAAGTTCAGGAACCTCAAACCTGACACTGGAGAAACTGTACTTCAGTTTGTGGCACGTCTATGGCGATAGTTTTGAAGGACTGACAGGTCTACTAATACCTGAACAGTTCCTGATCACGTGCTCCATTGACATGTCACTGTTCCAAAAAAAAAAGAGAGAGAGCACTGAAAGACGTGGACGAGATTATCAAGCTCGCAGAACAATATATGGAATCTTATGGAGGGAATATAACTGTCAAGTCCCAGAATAACCAGTCAAAGTCGAAACCAGGAGTGGCTGACCAGAAGCAGAAATGCCAACAAAGGTGACAAGAAATCAAAAGACAAAAGGGAAAAAGAGATGCTATGCTTGTTATAAAACGGGGCACATTACGAGTGAGTGTAAGTCTGACACCGACAAGCAACAGCAGAAATCTCAACATAAAGCTACCAACATAGATGGTGCTGCCAGAAACAACAGAAGAAAGACAACTCATCAGATTCATCACAAGAAAGAAGTGTTATTACCATGATTAAACTGTGCATGATTGTTGGTCAACTCAAGTTAACAAATGGGTCAGCAGTGCCAGTAGTGATTGGAACATGTGACAAGCATCAAGAGGTGCCAACAAACCACAACATGCCAGTAGGTGAAGATGATGTTGGGGACAAGAAAGTGAAAGTGTCAAAAACTTACTTTTTAGTAGTATATATAGTGATGTAAGTATATGGGTGTGTTGGGCTAAGGATTCTTCTACAGTCGGTATCTGTGACTTTTTGGCAATAAATTCAATAATAAACGAACAGCATGCACTCCACTTCTGTTTTAAATATTGTATATATTAGAAACAAGTTGAGCATATATACATAAATTATTTACAGAATGAGATCATAGTTGTATCTTAAACACTATACAGTTTTATTCTTATTGTCAAAAGTCCACTTAGTCCAATTCAATTGCTTTAGAATTCAGTTGACAAGCCAAATTATTTTTCTTTATTTTTTATAGCAATAGTATCCGTATATAAGTCAATTATGCTGTTGCATGAGTTACTGCAGTTGTATCATGTACTTCCAATAAATTCCACACAGACGAGTTCAATTAGCTGTGACAAGATAACTTATTCTCATAATTTCTTTCAAACTATTAATCTCACTCTAACATATCAACCATTAGGCCTTTCACTCCTTTGATGACTAACTTTGCATCTTCTAACTTTTCTCTCACCGAACTTTTCTTTCCTGTGACTTTAATTTTTACTCTCTCTGTTTCCACTCGTCTGGTTGCAGCTATTTATACATCTATCACTCAGGCCTTCTAGAAATATTTATAGGTTCGATATCAATGGATTGCAAACACAAAATAAATAAATTAATAATACTACATACACTAAACAGTATTTTACATTTGACAGAAAGTCCTAACAGACATTGGATACAGCAGTGGAAAACAGTCTGGTATGTAATGATCAGATGATGGTCAAGGTACATCTGTGTGTGAAGATTGTTTGGATAGTGGGAAAGTTTCCCATAACAAGAATAAATGTGGACACTCCATAGTATGTGGAAGACCTTCAGGCCATGTATATGAAGGTACCTATCTATAACTTGGTGAATGGCAATATACTAGGCAGTAAAAGTTTGAATAAACCAGAGAGAAAAGAGACTGATGAGGCATCTGCAGTCACCACTAGAGCTCAAGAAAAGAAAAACAAGCAAGACATCAAGTCTCTGCAAACCTCGAAAAGTGACATCCCGAATGTAGGTCTACAGGAAATGAAGAAAGCACAAAAGAAAGACCCTTCACTGCAGAAACTTTGGGACAATGCTTGTGAGAAAGTCGAGCACAAGACAAAAAGGAAAGGGATTTACAGAATAGAGAACCAGAAGGGAGAGCTGTGCCAGATTTATCAAGACAGCTCTACAGATGAAGTTAAACAGATCATAGTAACAAAGAAATACTGAATTCAAGTGATAAAATTGGCTCATGAGTCGATTGTGGGTGGACATCTTGGAGTGAAGTCTCTTCAGTAAAGGTGCTGTCTCTCCTCTAGTAAATACATCAAGTTTGGTGAAAATACTATAGAACTTTGACTAAGCTTAAAATGACAACACGAGCACAAAGCGAGATCAAATATTTCAAGAGATAATGAAAAGAAAAGCAAGCAAAAAAGAGCCAGAACATTAACAAAAGATCCAGAAAGAGAAAGTTAAAAGGAGATCAAGAAGAAAGAGAAAATATCAAAGACCTGGAAGAAAGAGACAGGAGTTCAAGAGAGAATTTAAAAGAAAGAGATAAAATATTTAAAGGAAAATTAAAACTAAAAATGAACATGTCTGAAGACAAGACCAATGAAGCTATTATAGTTGTGCAGAGGGATTACAATAACAGAATTGAAGAAGTACAGAAAGGCTGTAATAATAAAATTGAAGAAACACGAAAGACATCAATGAAGTACAAAAGACATTTATGATGTACAGAAAGATTATAATAGCAAGATTAATGAAGCAGAAAAGAATATAAATGACAAAGTAAAGCATTTGGAAGATGAATTAGTAAATGCAAAGATCAAACTACTCGGTCATAACTTTTTCTGCACACGGTCAAGAACCATAACCTAAAATGTCATTTAATATAAAATATGGAATTGGAGAGACTATTTGGTCTATACCTGTTACTACTACCACTGCTGCACCATAAGTAACTGCAGAACCAGCTATGTCACTGCTAAATCTAGTTCTAGAATTTAGCCAGCCATTTTATCAACATCATCCAATCGAGAAATCAATGGACTATGATTGAAAGATAACATGGGGACATATCAGGCTCAATTTGAAATACTTTCCAGAGTGAAGGGGGGGAATAGCGAACAAAAAAGCAGTTAATCTTACTGCCCATTTAAAAGGGCAGCTTTAATGATATTTAGCAATCAAATCCTCTGTCGGCTGGTCGTTTCAATAACCTTGGCATTAGATCTGTGAAGCGGGAAACGTAATCTTAAAAATGTGTTGTAAGTGAGAGAGGATTAGGCAATTTAGAAGAACTGAAAGGATAAGTTGGACAACTAGTTATATAGAACAGAAAAAATTAACTGTAAGACAATAAGGTATTTGCAAGTGTAACTTAAAGGGATATATTGCTGGGAAAGTCTTAGCATGATAAGGTAGAAAACATGATACACTTACATATCATGTCTATTCATCTGAGATTCAGTTATAAAGTTAGTCAGTGTGCTTGTTACATTTATTATAAATTGATTAGAGAGGAAATCCTGCAAGTAAGTTTCTAAACAAATTAAGTGTACATTAGTTTCATAGCTACTGTTGAAATGTTATTTGTCAAATTAGGCCTACCAGGGTATGTACAAATGTTATTGAAGAAATATAAATTAATTCGTCTGTTATGTGGACTGGACTGCACACTTCAAAAATTTTCCTAGTAATGAGAATGTGCATGCCCCAGCCTTGTACAGAGTACCATTATACATGCAATTATGAATTTGATGTCAAGTTATCAATTTTCCATCTGTAGATTACTATTTTCAAAACGAGACCAAAAACGTTCGAATAGTTGACAGTTCTTCTTCAGACGTAGAATAGTCAACTATTCAAAAGCGCTCTAGTTCTGGATTTCCTTTTAAATATATTACAACTTTTGTAGGTAATCCTGTGTGTAACTACCTGGACTGTATATTACTAAATTTGCATTAGTTAGTGTTAAATAAAATACCACATACAATATACAGGGATACTGAAAAGTTAGATATGCATTTAGAAAGTTGCACAAATGCAATTTGCAAAATGTGCAATGGACAGATGTGTTTTTATTCTTCACACACTCCAACTCATTAGAGTCTGAGTCACACACACTTCTGCATCTCACAGAAACATCTTTAGTACAAAAACTTTAGTTAACACATTTTATTCTGTGTGTACAAGAATTGTACTATTTACAAAAAAGCTTACCACATTTTGTGAAGATAAACTTTGTAAATTTGGAATTATAGTCATAATTATTTCCCTATTACAGAGTTGACACAATGGACTGACCCTATGCATATTCTTATTGCTGCAATACTGATATTCACCATTTTATCTAGTTAAAACTCTGAATATAGGTTGTTTGTAGTTAAAACAGCAATCAAACAATAATTGGTACTTTTTTCTAGTTTCAAGAAGGAACTTATGACTGTAATGGGAGTTTGCAGTTCTGTACAACTGATAACTTCGTGATACATGAAAATAAATACCAACCATATTACTTCTCTAATTCAGAGAGCTTTTACTTAACACTGTTGTCCCTAAAACATAACATAAACAGTTACTAATATAACTGCCTCCATTTTTCAACCAAGCATAAATATGTACAAAAAAAATCACTCTGACAAAAGGAAACATTTACATGGTTCAAATGATTTATTTCTATAATCAAAGCCAATGTGATGATTTTTTTTTTGGATACATATGCCATATTTGTTTATAAACAGTCATACCAGACAAATATATACACAACAGTGTTATGAGGTATACTCCAAACATGTTTCAGAGACACACAAAATGAAATATGTGAAAATAAATATAAAACCGTGACTTGCTTCTCAATGATGAATCTTTTACAGTAATACACATTATGTGTGAGATTACAGGCTGCCCCTAAAACAATCAAACAAAATGGGATTATTCAAAGTTTAGCTTTTATTTAAAATTTTAACATCTTATGAATGAATATAAATATGAAACACATCTGAATTTCTGTTATAATGTAACCATATGGGGTGGGATAAATCAGGATACCCAAGCAAGTTTTTGACCTTTGTAATGTAATTTACAACAATGGAAAGAAACTTCCTTCAAACAATATAACACTAATATACTCATTCAAATCATAATTGCTTTTCTAGTTTTCTCAAAATATTTCTTTTAAGCAAAGCATGATTGATATTTGGCTCAAACAACATTGTATTGTTATATTGCTTGAAGCTTAATCATAGTAAACAAAATGTTGAGAGTTAACACAGTTTAAAGTATCTGTAAAAATCAAATACTAAGTAATAGCTGTAGAAATAACTTCAGAAACTATTACAGTATTACGTGCTTGATGTAAATAGATATGTATAAACTTATGCCTGGTTTTTACTATGCAACGGATCATTTTAAAACAAAACTGTTGTTCAGTTGCAATACTAAATAGTCCTTATATCTTCTCTATTAATCATAAATCCTCCACATAACATAAACACTTGTCTACCAATTGCAAAGCTTCTTTTATTATTTTTTAAATATTTTTGAATATAATGCTAGCTAATTAATATAAAGCATTCACTTAAGATTTTATTAATAATTAAAATAATTGTTTAGATTTATAAAAGTATTTACTTGAAACCTAGATGCAAGTACTACAAGGTAACCCATGTTTTAAAAATTACACTAAACTTTACTTCTTACTACAAATTGAAAATGAAAAAAATCTACAGAAACTTAACTATATCGATATATATACAACTACATGCATACATATGCATCAGTACTAGCTTCCTTGTCTAAAATAACAGTTAAAAAAGCTTTTTTGTATGTTTTAGATAAACCATTTTTATTAAGTAGACATTACCATGAGTAATCAGCATTATAGAAGTCTAATTAATTGACAGTACAGAAATCTTAGTTTCTACTGTCATGTATTTGCTGTCTTTGATAATCTAAATATAAACAAATAAAACCAGTTACACAGACTCGTGTATATATGTATGTGTGTAAGTATATATATACAATATTCCTAAGAAAATATGTACATTCATTTATATTCAAAAACTTCCTGCTGGTCATAGAAAAAAGCAAGGTTCTGCTGTAATTGTTCAGCAATTTAAAAAGCTTTCAGATATGATAAGCCCTGTTATAAAAACAGCAATACTGAAGCAAACTTTAGGTGAGTTATATAACAGTACAGGAATACACTGTAACTCTTCGGTCCCAGTCAAAGCATTTTATAATAGAAAATCTTATGTTCATAATTTAACAAAAGATAATAATGAAGTTAAAGTATTAATGTTAACTATTATGAAACAAATTTCTATAGTGACAACTTTCCAACAGAAAAACAACTGCAAACATAATTGTTGCTTTTTGGCCAGTCTAAAATACAAATAATTCAATGTCCTGTGAATGTTATCATATTTCACTTATGAAGAGTTTATTAAGATGATTAGTATTAAGAAAAGAACTGTTTAGATATTGCATTACATTTCCTTACAACAGTAGAAACAAACTAGTTTTTCAACATTCATGTACAGAAATTCAGTAAAAATAACATGGGTTACATGGTATTGTAGATATATGACAATGTCCCAGCTTTTTTCAGTACTTCTATGGATTAAGCTGTTCTATGTATGTATACTAATTAACTTATTTCCTTCTCTCTCTGTATATATATATATGTGTGTGTGTGTGTCTCTTCCTGTATATATTTTAAATTTTTTTAAAGAGAACATATTCAATGCACAGACATTATTGCCCACCTTATTTTAAGTTCCTCCTTTACCCAAAACAATTCATCTGTTTTTATACATCACCATTTTGTGAGGAAGACAAAGTTATTAGATATATTGCATCCAAAGCCAAAGCTCAAAAGCCTTGATATAATCAAAACATTTCAAACCTGGACATAATTTATGTTTTCCTTCCAACTGACTAATGATGAACACTACTGTTTAAATTTAAAAAATGCAATAACAAAATTAACACTAATTCACATGAATATGTTGAGCAAATATCATAATTTCCAAAAATATCAGTCGTAGATTTTCATTTCTTAAGTTCATTTTCTTGCATTAAATGCATGAGATATATTCATAAAATTTACTATTTGAAAAAAAAAAAATACACATAAAAACACCTGGCACCTTAGTTTACAGCTGAAACGTTAAGTACGCAAATAATTCAAATCTCACATTTTTTTTCTCAATGACAACTTGCACTACTATGGGTTCAACATTACTTATTAAATTTGATAATCAACAACATTTAGAATGAGAATATCCTTAATTATACTTATCCAATAGAGCACATTTTAGTCAACAATGTTGTATATCATTTTGTTTTCTTTTTTACCACAAAGTTACAGATTGGGCTATCTGCACTTCAACCTTCTGGAACCCAAACTCTGGATTTTAGCAATGTAAGATCTGAAAATTACCACTAACCCTCCTCTGTACTAATCTATTTGTGGTACTATGCTTGTAAAATGGAAAAACATGCAAATATGTTTTTTTTGTATTTCTTACGACACTAATTGCACCATGGCAATAATGTTTTCAGTTTTTTGCCCTACAACAAGTAATTATTTTGGAAAAATTCATCACTAAAAAAAAAAAATGGAGTAGTATGCAAAAGTACAAAAGTATCCCATCTGCCTAGATATTTAAAACTTCATTGAATAAAAAATGAGCTTATTCTCAATTATTCGTGTATACTTAGTAATTCAGTCTTGAGGTTGTTGTGTACTGCTATACAGTATAAAATGTGAAAAGTAAGTGTAACTAAGATGTTAAAACGTTCATGATACAAACAACTTAATGAGTACAAAAACAATTTTTAATTTGTTTTTCTGGAGAGTTATTGCACTTTTCCAGCGGCTTCAAAGATTATCATTACACATTTCATATACTAACATGAACAATATTGGCCCATGAGCAGAATATATATTGAAGAATGATGTTCATTTTTGGTCTTACTTTTGAAGAGAAGCTCAATTTTTGAAAATGCTTGATCTTTTATGTAATACTTTATTATTGTTAGTTTGTTTTTAATTATGCACAAAGCTACACGAGGGCTATCTATCTGTGCTCTGCCCACCACGGGTATTGAAAACCTGGTTTCTAGCGTTGTAAGTCCGCAGACATATCGCTGTGCTACTGGGGGGCAACTTTATTAATATTTCAACATATCAGCTATTGTACTTTATTACCTAGAATGGCTTAAAATATAAAAGCACAAACAACCTCCATATTAACATGCAAGGCAATCTTTATTATAAATTTATGAAACTGTAGGTTTATAGGTTTATGTATTGTTCAAGAAATCTCCAAGATCTTTATGTAAATACACTTGTAAAATCACAGTTAAGCTTCACTTTTATGGAAAATGTCTGAGCAAGATGTATAATAGATAAGTTTACCAAATATGACTTTCTAAATACCTTTAATGCTATGAAAGTCATTTCTTCATCTTAGAAGTTATATTTGCTGTTTTTTTGAAAGTTGAAATATACAGCACGGTAAAAATTTCAATAAAAATATAAACTTGTACGACTATATATTTCTCAGTATAAAACAAAAGATTCCTCTTAGAGAAATAAATGTGTAAACAATGGTCTGACAATGATCTTAAAACTGTCATCTTCTTGATTACACTTGTAAATTTGTCTTGCAATAAAATGAATACAGGCTTTAAAGAAAAACAAACAAGCTTCCTTTTGCAAGTTACAATAACAGTAACAGTATAAAAAACAAACACAATACTTCATTTCAATTAGTTTTTCATACTTATTTCAGCTTTAAAATGACCTTTAGTATGAAACTTTGTTGAAGGTTTTGAGAAACAATTTGCAGTATTCAATAACGATAGTAAAAATGAAGTAATTGATACAATATATACATTAAATACTGTAAAATTTCAGTGACTTGTGTATAATAAAATCACAGAAGAATGAAGAGATGAAAGCAATGTGGTTTTTTGTTTTTTAGCATGGCAATAAATAATAACTAATCAGGGTAGTGTTACAAGAAATGATGTTCTTAGTATTAAAAATGTTGTTTGAATAAAATTCACTTCTTTCACACTTTTAATTCAAATAGAAATAACCTTTCCAATCAACTTTTGGGCTTATAATAACAGGTAAAATAGAAATGCATTGTGTTAGTTTTAATAACCTTCCTTTCTTTATTTGAAAAACAAAATAATTATTGTGTATTTGTTTTTATCTCTTTTTAATAAATAACAAAATTGTTTTTTTGGAGATAAATTTCAAAAACTACAAAAAAAAACACCATTCTAAATTATAAAAAAGAACCAATTCTAATAAGAGTACATAGGTTAACTTCCCTACATAATAGCAAAGAGATATACAACTTAAAAGCTTCAATATTTACTAAATAAACTGGTTACAATGAAACATAAATGAAATTGAATTGATTGTCATCATGAGAAATAATTAAGTGAAAGTGTTTCTTCTATGATAACGTAAAACTGTGAATTAAAAATATGAAAGATTAACTAATTACGTGGGTTGGCTTCAATAAATTTTCAACCTCTTACGTAATATCGATACATCAAAACTCCTGTTCCAAACAGTACAACTAAGCCTACTGATATCTGCTTTAGTAACAAACTGTGCGGTCTCCACGTTTCAGAGTCTTGTCGTTTTTTGTGGATAGTGACAGCTGTCTTGTCTGTGTATTCTTTACAGTTTCGTTTTCGTAATTCACCATCACTGAGCAAATAATGGAGAAAAATATATAATTAATTTTCTTTCAACACTCTTTCAATAACCAACAATATTAAACAACTAATTTGTCACATATCTCACTGTTCAAATTTTTGTTGCTTTTTCACAATCATTACAATTACCTTTCAAATTTTTCATCTAAAATCTATATAAAGGCTATGGATATTACATAAAAACAAAATCTACAGAAAATATGTAAACAAACAATTTTCCTATTTAGCCACCATTTTTAATGTTGACACATTTGGCCTCAGCTTTTGAATACTATATTTATTTACAGCAATTAACTGTGATTGGATTAGGTATCTAACTGGGATTCTACTGTTAAATATTACAGCCAAATATTACACCAGTGCAGGTGGGTAATGACAAGAACTGGAGATTAAACAATATTTGTGTTTGAGGAAATGTTAATTTTATGATTTTTGCCACTGTTGATGTGTACAGTAATACTACTGATTATTTTTTGTAACTATATAAACATACACGCAATTGGTAAGTCTTGACAACATTCCATACAAAACAAACAGAGGACTTGTGCACTATTAATGTAATAAATAGTTACAGGAATATTAATAATCTTATTTCACAAGTTTGAAGGATATGGCTTTAATGCCACTGTGATGTGAACTTTACTGATGATCTGTTAACAAATCAAGAACCCCCCCCCCCAAAAAAAAGGAAAATCTAATTCTGTCAGGTATACTGCAGACATTTAATTGTTGGGATGAAATTATAAGTAGGCCGCTAGGGCTGAATGATAGGCTTGGGTTAATATCTAAGGATGGGCAGATTAGCAGGTTGGATTTGTAGAAGCAATACAATGTAGTGACGTGCAGTGAGGGGTGGCTAAATGGGCTTAAGCCCCTGCCTTCCTGTCATTATGCCCCAAAAGTGTCTTTTTTCTCAGTCATAAAAAATTGTCAACAATTATCAAACGATACACTTAATTCCACACCATGCTTGCTGCGAGTTATTAAGAAAAAAATTCAGTTTTAATATGAATGGCACACAGGAAGTTGTATGTTCTTACAGTAAAAAATAATTGTGATATGTTATTAAGTGTTAATGTGCATGAATTCACTGTTTAATTTTAGATTTTTAAAGTGTTTATAATATCAATTGAATAGGAATAAAAGAGGATTTGTTTGATTCTTATGGCTCTTTACACTACATGTACCAGAGGCAACACACAGTCACCACGGTCTCCCCTAAAACCTTTTGCCCCCAAAAATGGCTTACCTTAAGATGCTTGAAAAGTGGTCTTTTTTTGTCAATAAGCAATGCTCTTTTAACGTCCTCTATACATTACTGTTTCAATAAGAAAAGAGAGATTTTTAGAAAAGAATGGTTTACATTTAGATAGGATAGGGGTGGCTTGTTTGCAAAGGCATCTTTAAACTAAGACCAGAGTGTTGAGGGCCTGAATAAACTAAATGAAGAAAACATAATACGTAATGAGGCATAATGTAGAAATAAAGTAAAGAAGGAGTTTTTCAGAATTGGCTAAACTGCTGTTATTGTAATGCTAGAATTAAAGAAATAAAACTGAAGAATAAGTTTGAAAAGTGGATTTTGATGTAATAACTGAACCCTGACTAAATGTAGACATATCTGATGACAGGAATTTCTTTTAAATAGAGTGTTATGGGTTATGTAATAGGAATAGAGTACTAAAAAGAGGGTGAGGGGTAGCTTTATACATAAAATGTGAGTTATTGCAACCAGTTCAAGTTGAGGGTTTCAAAACAAATAGCAAAGAAATTGAATCTATTTGGGTTTCTATTAATGGATATAGGGGGAAAGGCTTTTAGCTGGAATTTGTTACAATTACAAAACGAGATTCATGAAATTAATGACAAACTCTACAGTGAGATAACGAATTCAACTATAAATGAAGTCATACTTACGGGGGGAGCATTAAATTTCAAGTATACAGATTGGAAAATGGTCAAACCACATGGGAAACAGGTTTGTTTGAAACTATTCAGGATGGTTTTATACACCAATTGGTTAGGGAACCTACTAGGAACAGCATTATTTTAGATTTATTGTTAATTTAAAATAGGGTTAATTTGATAGGGTGAAGATTGGGGAACATCTAGGTGCAAATGATCATTGTTCAATTGGGTTTGATGTTTGTTGCTTAAGTAGATAAGAAGTAATGAGATTTTTGTTACAAATTTAAATAAGAAATTTTGAAGGGGGTACAATATAATTAACTGTTATGAATTAGGCAACTGAATTAACTGGAGATAATTACAGGGTGTTATGGATAAAATGATAAAAAAAGCAGATTTAGAAGATTATAGAAGATCAAGAGAGTTGATTAAAAATAGGGGATATAAAAAAAGGCTGGCTGAGAATGTAAAAATTAATAGTAACGATTTCTTTCAATATATTAAAAGTAAGCAAAATTTTAGGATGGGAGTAGTACCCTCGAGGGATGATACAGGAAGGCTCATATCTAATGATTATGAAATGGCTAGGTTATTAAATTCTACTTTATTAATAATAAAGATTTAAGCAACATCCTCATCTTGAACTGTTGTTAGATGGAAACAAGATTGAGAAAGTTGAACAATTTTGAGCTTGTTAATAAAAAATAGGAATGTTTAAAGAATTATAAGGTCCTTGCTACTATATTTTGTAAGTCCTTGAATAGTTGGCAGGTGCCAGAGAGATTGAAAGTTGGTTTCACCGTGGAAAACTTTACCTTCTTTGAAGAGGTTACTGCTTATGTAGATGAATGTAAGGATGTGGATTTGGTGTATCTGGATTTTTAGAAAAACATTTGACAAGGTGCTATATAAAGGGATTGTTAAAAAACTAACTCTGTAGATGTAGGGATGAATTGGCTCATTGGATAAAAAAACAGGGTTGTTATAAATGGAGTTCAGTCAAATTGGATTTATGTCACACCTGGGGTACCTCAGGGCTCAGTGTTAGGATTTTTGCTTTTTATGATTACACTAATGATACAGATGAAGGAATGGTAAAATAAATTACTTAAATTTACTGCTAACATTAAGGTCTTGGTGTTCCTAGCTCTTAGGAGGATACTGCTGTTGCTTTACTAAATAGTTTGGATTATTTGTTGAGTTGGGTGAAAAATGGAAGATGGATTTTAACTATAACAAATGCAAGGTAATACGTGTCGAATATTATAATTAGAATTGTCACTGGAATAGCCTTAACAGTGTTATAGAGGAGAAGGATCTTAACATTCTGGTTGATTAGACTCTCAAGCCATCCAAGCAGTGTGCTGTTGCTAGTGGCATCATCTTTACTTGTAGTTAATGGTGAGAATGGTAAGAGTAGGAAACTCACGTATAAATTTTGGCAGGATAAAAATTATCTCCAGCTAATGTAGGTTTATTTTTCTAACAAATTGTTGGCCTTTGGAATGGACTTCCTTCAGATATGGTGGGTTAACTAAGTTTAAGGGAAGTTTTGATGAATATTTAAATGATAAGAACTGGCTTAGGGTATTTTATTTCAAGGTTTAATTTAATGGATGAGATGGCTTAGATTGACCAATTTTGGTCAGGATAAAAATTATCTCCAGCTAATGTAGGTTTATTTTTCTAACAAATTGTTGGCCTTTGGAATGGACTTCCTTCAGATATGGTGGGTTAACTAAGTTTAAGGGAAGTTTTGATGAATATTTAAATGATAAGAACTGGCTTAGGGTATTTTATTTCAAGGTTTAATTTAATGGATGAGATGGCTTAGATTGACCAACAAGTTCCATGCTGTCAATAAATTATATGTTATGTAATATAAAAAGTTAAACAATTACAAACTTAGTTGAAGTAATAACTGAAAGAAAACACTCTCACTTACACATTATTTTCAAGGAGTAAAGATGAATCTTTATTGTTGATGGAAATATCTTCTCCAATGACATTTATGTCATTCCACTTTTCACCAACTAAGCCTGAAGTTGGTGAGTCACTATATACAGTTTTCAGTGTATCAGTTACAGTGAACACTTTTCTATCTTCTGGAATGAGTCTTTGATCTGATATATCAGTTAGTGGCTTGGTGGTTCGAGGTGGCAGTGGTGGTGGTTCTGTCTCACTGTCATCTTTTTCAATTAACAGTTGCCTCCCATCACATTCAACTTCTGCATTCTTACTTCCTGACCCCCTAACATCTATGTTGTTTACTTGTTTCTTTATAATCTTTCCATCCTTAAAACATTAAAATATTGTTATAAATAAAACATTTTGGGATTATCAAATAAAGTGTGTATAAATCCATTATTTTTACACTTTTCATACTTAAATATGACGAACAGCAAGCTATAATAGTTACTTATAATTTTGTGCAGTAACAGAAAGAGACATACCTGTTTTT